AAAAGATATATTTTTTATAGCTACAAATTTGTGCATAAAAACAATGAAATAAGAGCAACTATAATTACATTCGATTTTACTATATATTTTTTCTATCTGTCAAATCGTTTTAATAATGTAATCTATCACAGTTCCGGAACAAAAAATTATTAAGGTATATTAGATTTAATATACATATCAACTTATACAGAATGTCCCAAAATTCGTATGCACCGTATGAATAAACATTTTTTTCTATGTCAGAAAAAGTAACTTTCTTCTAGCGGAATTGCAAACTAATTTAAAAACTTGGATGCAATTTTACCAAAATTCGAAGTTACTTCTTCTAGCAAAGAGAGTCGCATTATGCATTCCAGTGTACAAACTTTAGAACAGCTAATATATTAATTTATTATACACATATTAAAATTTACTTAGAATTATTTTATAATGTAAATATCATAATTTCTATATAGAATTCTGAGAATTCTCATATTTCTTGAGGTCTTAAGAAGCTTGTGAAAATCGATATATATACATATTCCTGCTTTTTTTTATATTAATTGTTTACACGCTTTCAAGTTCAAATCAATGATTCCAATATTAATAGATATTTCGCATATCTAGTATCAAATTACTCCTCAAGAATCCATCAAGAAATTCGCGTCCAGCACGATAAAATAATATTTTTATTCTTTTCTACGCGGTGCTCACAGCTACCACTATTGTGAATTACTTATGTAGAGCTGGATTATAATATCGCGATTTATTATTGTCTTATCTCGAGATATGTGATATAAAGTACGTATTGTATAAAGAATTTATGTGTGTATGTATGATAAGTCCCTTTAAATCATCAATCTCTTCGAACAATTCAAACACATTAATTTTCTTCACGATGATTCAATTAGTATATCCGCGCGTTTAGTAGTAATTAAAGTATTCTGATATCGGATGTCTTGTTAATATTTATTAAGATTGCACCGAATATCCGATGCATCCCTAATATTTATTTAAGTCGCGATTATTGATATTGGAATCGCATTGTTTATATGGCAGTGATGTTGCAATACAATCGAAATTGATTCCACCAAGTTTTTATAGGTTTTACAGTTCGAATCCATGAAAAATTATTCATGACAATGACGATAGTACAACAATATTCTTATCATTATTTTTATTTCAAAACGTTTATTAAAGTTGTAATAAAGAATGTTTCTTTGACTACTATTACAATGTAAAATTTTTTTATAATAACGTGATAATACAAAAAAAACGTACGTAACGCACAAAATTATAACTTGTTATATTTCCCGCTTAGTTCGTAAATGGAATGCCGGTTTTGTCACAACTCCTTTTCTTCACGTAAAAATTTTATGAAGTATCTCTTTAAATAATATTTCATTAAATTTCTTTGTAAGACTTTTATGAAAAATTTTTATCGAGAACTTTCGTATGCAGATGAAAATATAGATAGTAATATATTAATTTTTGTAGCGGTAATTTTTTCATCATCCAAATGGAGAAAATATCAAATTACTAAAGTTGGTGGCGTTCCATTTAATGCCCACAACGCTCGCGAAATCATTTCATCCTTTTGTTATTTATTTATCAAATGAGGAGCAGAATTTTAAAATGCGTTTCGTCCGAAATTTATAATTTTCAGAAAACGAAATAAAGTCACAAGAAAACTACGCGCTTTAAAAAAATAACAATTCGTCAATCAGTAAAATGTGAAATGTTTAACATTGCTAAGTAGTTGCTAGAAATGTTAAACAAATACATTTTGTTTGTCTCTAGTTAAGAGACATAATGCACTTTAAATTTCAAGATTTTTTCCAGCACATACATCATATAGTAGCTTAAAATATGAATCTCTCAACACTTAGCACTATGCCACCTTTAATCCAAAAAATGAAATTTCGGACAAAATTTATTTTGGAAGCTACTCCTCAAATGTTAAACAAGGACAAACGATGCTCAGCTGTTGCGAGAGTTGAGTCGAACGCGCGCATCCTAAAGCAGCATACAACAATGGGATTTTAAAACGTGAAACTTAAACCCTAAACCGTCAGAAATTGATCAATCATAGTCGATTATTCTTTTTCGACTGTGATTGGTCAATTTCTTACAACTTAAGGCCTATGCTTAAGTTTTAACGCCTTAAAGTCTGATTGTAAACGCTGCTTGAAGCTCTGTGTCCATGGTGGTAGAACTCGGTCCGAATTCTCAGATCGAGAAATCAATTTACCGTTTTTCTATAAAAACTACCGTGGACACTAAGCTTAAGAGGATCCTAAAGCAGGGTTGCCACAAGTCAGGGAAATCAGGAAAAGTCAGAGAATTTAAAAAAATGCGTCAGGGAAATCAGGAAAAGTCAGGGATTTAGCACACTTGTCAGGGAAAATAAAATAGCTGTAAATAAATTTATATTGCCTCGTGCTTCTATGATTGGTTTGGACTACCTTTTTTTTTATTTTTGAACTTGTTTCTTCAAGAAAATGTGCATCTATGTTACATTGCTGGATCAACAAGATATTTAACATTTTCCGTATTAAGATAAAAATACAAGAAACATTGGAAAATATGTATTATTCAAAGTCATGAAAAATCTCAAAATTTTGTCAGTAAATCAGGGAAATGTCAGGAAATTTTACGACTACAAATTTGTGGCAACTCTGTAAAGCTGTCTATATTATGTATCGACTAAACCATATAAATTTGATATAACAATAATTTTTTTCCTCTTTTACGAATTAAAAAATCCTTTTCCAGGATTGAAGTATACGCATTAACACGTGTCTGTGAGGTAGAGTTTATGCCGAGAACGTAAAAAGAATTCAAAATTCAGATTTTTATCATTTTTTAGTCCAATATGGCGCTCTAAAACTGTCACATTTAGAGGGCGGTCGAATTGCCACTACGAATGCTTCGAAACATTTTTTGATTGATCAATTATTAGGTAACCACATTAAAAACTTATATTATCGTTTATATTTACACGAGCATTAACATGTGTCTTAGGTCACCATTTAGAGTTGCGTTTCAAAACCGACGATTGTTCAGCGCGCAATTTGGGGGGGGATTTAAAAAATTTGCGTTTCAGGACCGACGATAGTTCGGCGCGCAAGTTAAAAGGGGGAATACATACATTACTATGGATGAAATATTACGAAGAATATTACTACGTCGACCCGCCATCAGAGGTCTATAGATATTCGCAAATTCTCGCAAGTACTTTAATACGCGTATATCGCTTTATATAGAATCTCGATTGAATAACTCTTGCAGGCGTCTAAGGTAGGCTTCCATTACAATGCTTTACTGACGAGTCCAGTAGTGGAAGCTGGGACGAAACGTTATATTTAAGTAATATTCTTCGCAATATATTAAATTAATTTTCCTTCGTTTACTGATGATGTTCATATTAAAGGCCGAATCGCTTACTAATAATAATAAAAATTTTGTTTTAATATATTCTACGAAATACATTATATTTTCGCTAAATCTATCCAGCGTCGTGGTATATGGTCATTTTTAATTTCTTTGTCAATTATTAGGTGTACAAATTAGTTCGGTCCGTTTTTTGTGTTCAAAAATGCATTTATTTCAAAACAAAATGAATGAACAGATTAATTAAAGTATTGTCCATCGCTGGCTACTACTTTTTCCCATCTCTCAGGCAATTTTCGAATTCCATCTCGAAAAAATGACTCGTCTTTGGAGGCGGTCATCTTTTGGAAAACGGACCGAACTAATTTGTACTCCAATTGTTTACAGATTACCTAGTGTTTGCAGGAAGAAACCTTTTTTACTAAAAATAATTAATTATATTCTTACATAAAAATACAAAAAATATTAATAAGTATAAATAAACTAGTTATGGATTCTTTTTGTTGAAAACAAATAAACAATCATAAATTAAAAGGCTATAAAGAGTCAACGCGGTTAACAGTGCGAAAATTATTTTAATCTTACAATTAACATGTAGAATGCCAGTCGAACGTTTCGGTCTGTGATTTAGAACATCTTCAACGACAACGCTATAATAAACGATACTTCATATACTCCGGGTAGAATGCAAATTGTAGAAACAATTATTGTTAACTGACAATATGTTCTTGTGCACCAACTAGAAGTGAATACATCATTGATATGTGGAACTGTGTATTATTTCAAAATATCGGAAATATGTCTGTGAAGAAACCGTTAACACAAAAAATCTATTAGAATCAAATTATTGTATTAATCTATATTGAATATTGTCCATAAATAATTACTAAAGAAAATTCTTTTGCACTCACCTGCTGGTAGACAAAAACATTATTTCTCACAAATTAAATTCAAAGTTTAATCGTACTAGATCGTGTGACTATAACATACGTGTCCGTATTCATCGGAAAGAAACGATGCAATGAGGAACCGTCAAAATAAAACGACAACAAAAAGAAAGACTAGGTCAAATTACTGTTGTCAATTTATTTAAAATATCCGCGTATGACCGATCAAGACCTGTGTCAGTTTTCAAATTCAGACCATTATTCTGAGATTTAATATACAGCATTTCAGAAATCAATCGCTTGTGGTAAAAATTTTCACAATCCATAATTCCCACATTATTCCGAATTAGGCCGAATCGTTTACTAATAATAAAAATTTCGTTTTAACATTCTACAAAATTATATTTTCGCAAAATCCATCCAGCGTCGTGGTATAGGCTCTTTTCTAATTCCTTTACCTTATCACACATTCTGATACTGTTTTTTTTTTTTTAATAATTACGAGTTACCTCTTAAGGTAGAGACACTTCGTTCCTCCATCTTCCAGAGTCGTTTGTAGGGCATGACGTGCGACCCAGCGGAGTTGTAGGATTCGCTATTTATCTGATGCCCAACGTAATGTTCTCCACTGCACTCTGACGTTGCACAATGACGCTGCTGTTGATGGTGACGATGCTGTCCACGTACGTCATCGTCGCATGCGACGTCGAAGTGCTACGCGCAGGGCACCTCGAATTGATGTCAGTGAACAAACTGATGATGCGTTTCGTACGGCTGATGATGCATTTCGTGAGGCTGATGAAGTGGCGGTGTGCCACCGCTCACCGGAGCCGTCTGATGCGTGTGCAGTTCCTGAGGAACAGTACTAGGACTGTATTGCTGAGAGTCAACAATAACGCTGGTGTAACCAGTCGACGAGGCCTCCAGATGATGGTGATGGGAATGTTTTACCGTCCCATTGCCGTTGCTGTGATGAGCCTGAGGATGACCTTGCTGGTAACCGTCGTGATGTTGAAGCGCCGCAGCATTATAGCTCTCATTGTTATTGAAACCGCAGTTTGGGTACATGATGACGCTGCCAGTCTCGTTCAACGTCGTTGACGATGTTGAGTCTGGCATAGGATGATGGTGATGATGCGAGTGATACCCTGACGGTAGCAGGCTCATGGAATTCGCCAAGTGAACATCGAGACCATCAACGCTACCGCAGGAACTTGAAGACGTCGAGTAAGGTCGCTTCTGTTGGCCGTTCTGAGGACTATGTTGTTGCCGTTGCTCAAGGGACGTCAAAGAGGATGCACCCTGATGCAGTAGGTGCTGGGGATGTTGTCGTTTCTGTTGATTAATAAGATGATCTTGCTGATGCTGCAGATGAGCGTTTACAGGGTCTTGATGGAGATCTTGAAAATTACAAAATAGGAAGTTAAAGTTGGACAGTAATTTTTTATTCATTGAAGGATAAAATATTAGTGGTAAAAAATAATTGTAAAAGAAAATTTTTCCTTTTTTTTTTTTACATTACAGAAAATGTATCGTTATATGTATACACATATGCGTCTATCTGACTGTATTATAAGCGGGTATTTATAAGATTATAAGTTAAGGGAATAACGATTGTCCCTTCTTTTTTTAAAAAAATTCCAAGATATAAATCAATTATAAAACTTACCACTGTACGGGTAAAACAAATCCGGGCTGTAGTAAGCGCTGTCCTCGTGGGCACCATTGATACCGTGCGACGCGTACGTCGACGGATAATGGCTATGATTTGTCGAACCCACCATGTACTCCGAATTAGGATACCCAGAACTATCTGCGTAATCAGTATCGGGTGGTTCTCTGGTTCTGCGGTAAGAAGGCGGACTTGGGCTGTGATTGTCCAGGTCATTCGTACCAGTGACGGGCGTCGACACGGGAGCGCTTGGCGGATTTCCCGGACTCGAACAGGATGACTTTTGTTCGCAGTTCAGGATCAAGCCCGTATTCTCGGTGGCCGTCAACACATAGTTCACGGATACGATGCAGTGAGGACGCGAACTTCGTGAATTGTGCACGATAGTCACGTATGACTGCATCCATACCCAACCGCCAGTTTTTGTGAGAAACCTGTAGTACCTCGTTGTCACTTGACCCTTCCTCAGCACTGTCAACAGAGTAATGACGTCCATCAACATTAACAATTAATTAATGTCGCACTTGATGTAAAATGTTATGATCTATAGTTTTAAATTTACATTCACATTTTACATTAATGGATAGTAAATTAACAAAATTTAGCGAGAATGATGTACGAGAGAAAATGCTGATTGTTCTGTGAATTGTACTATCGAATAGTCAGGGACAACGATCAAAATCAGATGTTATCGCGTTAGTTTGATGCTATTATTTCTGATAATAGCGCTCTAGAAGTGAGCGATAATGAAAACTATCTGAGAGTCGAAAGAAAAAATTTTAATAATTCAAGAAGAATTGTTTCTCATTTGCGATTTCTCGAGAAAATCTTGCCGATTCATGGCGCAGCCGCCATTACGCGCAATTACAACAAAAATTCGAGAAGTACGATATTTGCGACGTCGCGCAATCCTCAGGCGCAGACATTAGCGGCATTATGTCAGACTCCCTTCGAGTCGCGCTCGTGAAACTGCGAGTCTGTTCAAACAGTGATAGCAGTAACAGCCTCCTACCTCGCTCACATCTCTCACTAAACCTCCCTTCCCTCTATTCGCGCACCGCTCTTATCGTCATTCTCACTCCCTCTTCTCTCTCTCTCTCTCTCTCTCTCTCTCTCTTCGCGCATATAGACGCGCATCCAGCAGCCGCCTCTTTTCGTCGACGTGCTGTGCGGCAGCGTTGTTCAATCAATAATGTACACCCTAGATGCACCACGTGTGCACATACTTAGAATAAGCGCGCATGATACCGCTCCGTGGAAAGAACAAAAAAAATGAGGAAGAATGGAAATATACGATATAGTTGCCAGTGCGCGAATAGCACGTTAGATCAAAGGATGTTTCGTAAGGGCGTCGAGTTGAGTTAAGCAGCGTCAGCGACTTTTGGATCACAAAGAGCTTATCCTCATGGATGTATTGTGCCGACGTCGTTTGAGAGGATCTGCAACGGACCGTCGGTCAACGGAGAAACTATCGAAGGAAAATATTTTCGAGCGTTTGTGTTTCCGGCGATATATTATTCAGACAGAAATAGGTAACCTTTAAATCGTGAAAACACACGAGCGAAAATGTAAAAGCACAATCCACTAAAAGCAGAGAGATGCTGCGACTGTTAATCGCGCGTATTACACACGAAAGGAAAAATCGATGAAATATTTTCTATTAATAAATGCGTCTCCGAAAAACCTATTTTAATATAAACTAAATAAGTATTGCATAAAGAAAAATATTATTCTACTGCTAACAAAAGTGATTATCCAATTTATGTTTTTGTAAGTAACGATTAATTATCTTCAACAAAGAACATTTTCTTGATAATAGAATTAAGATATATTGATTACAAATTTATTATGTATATGTATATACATAAAAACTCATTATATATTCAAAACAAAGATTAATTATTATTTAAAAAAATATAAAATTTTGTCGAGAAGAAGCGTGTATCTCTATAAACTGTACGGACGATGGGGGCTAGGGGAGTTAGGTATGTTACTAAGGGGGTTGGAATCGCTTCGCGTGGATAATCAAAACATGTGCAAAATAGTAATTAATATTGTATATACAGCAGAAGTAAGACGTTATTTTTGAAACTTTCTTTTGTTCATAACTTTTTAACGAAGGGCGAGCGACGGCTAAAAACCTATTGGAGGTTACTCAGGGTCATGTCCTTGACAACATATGTCAAGGTCAAGGTCATGGGGGGGGGTCCCCTAATCTAGACATTTTCCGTGAAATCATATCTTCGTTCACAACAACATAAATTATATTAATTATAATATTTCTAGGTCTGTTTTTGTTTCTGCACTGAATTCTCTTTCTCGCTTTCATGAAATGTCAAATATAAAGTATATATATATATATATATATATACTGAAACCATCAAAACTAAACAGATACGAAGATACTAAGAACGACAGAAATTAAGATCTTGAGATCTTATGTTGAGATCTTATGACGCTAGTAGACGTCACTCTGTGTGACAGAATACACAACGACGTAATATAAAGATGCGAGACCTTAGACATGGCACGATGGATTAAAAGGAAACGAGAGTGGACAGGATGAGCAACGAACGGTTGCCAATAATAGCGAAAAACAAAAATCCACAAATTAGGAGATCTCCGAGGCTACCTAAATGTTGGATGAACTCGTGTATAAGATGTCGACATCTCAAGATCAAGGCTATGAAGAGGCATAGAAATGGAGAATTTAAGACCTGCCTTAAATTATAAGAGAAAGAAAAACGAAAACAGACCTAATATTACATTTAATAGTACATAATGAAATACTTACAAACATGATGAGCGTGTCGTAGCTGCAGAATGTCACATGCGTGCACATAGTGGTACAACGTTTTCTCAATTAGATCTGGTGGTTCGTAGCCTGTTAGTGGAGTTACTCTGTAACAATCATAGACTTATAAGATAGACGGAGCGTTCATACGTGAAAAGTTGAAGACAACATTGAAGAACAGCTCTACTCCAGACATAGTTGTGTTTCTCTCGTTCACAGTGAGCGGTGGAGAACCAATCAGCTCGAGCGTATTGCGTAATGTCACAACTTTTGGTTCGTGTGTTGAGAGGTTATAAATTCGAGTGTGTGTGTTTTTCAAAGATATAATATTTTTTTAATTATTATTCGAAAATAGAAATACAGCAACAGTTTACGCTGAAGGTTAATTTTTTGAAAATATATAAATTAAAATAAATTCTATAGAAATATATATCAAATGACCTACTCGGAGGTGTATAATTTTTACTGTCTTGTATGAGAAAATAAAGATTCGTAATAATAATAAGTAATAACCATTTAATTGTAAATGCAGCAAGACCGCACCATTATAAAATTGCAATTTTTGTAAATTAATCAATAATCCGCTGCAATCCGCCGAAGCTCTCGCTCTCATGTCAGTCAACTTAATACTCTCGGTCTCGGATATCTATCTTCGTTGCTCTCGGCTACTCTCCGACCTGCCGCGACGACCAATCAATTCATTACTAGAAAAGAAGTGAACTACTCCGCGACTATTTCTCTCTCTTTCTATCAAGTCTTCAGTTTCTCTCGTATGAACGCTCCGTCTATCTTATAAGTCTATGGTAACAATACAGAAGAGGTTATACCATACAGACAGTGGCGTAGCCAAGAGGGGGGCTGTGGAGACTGCAGCCTCCCCCTCTCGAAATTCTGAATAATTTTATAATAATGTGTAAAAAATTGTTGAGATGTAAATATCAATTTGTTTTGAGAAAGGAAATTAAATCCTTTTGGGATAGTGTTCTCATATTTAGTTGCAAAAATATCATTTATTATGTATTAAAAATATATCTGTTGATTTTCCTTTGTATTTGATACGTAAACAAAAATTCGATAAATTACACGGAAAAAAAATGTTGCTGCTAGTACAACCGCAAAAAGTAACATTGGGAGAATGGTAGCACTTCAACTCGCGAAATCTCAGCCGGATATTAATATTTATTATTCAAATTTTTACACTATAATCTTTGATATATTCTGTGACTTGTAAAACTATTCCGAAATTTTCGAAGCACTTTACAACAAAATGCCGGATTTTTAATAATATTTTGTCGAGTTTAGTGAATTTTTTTCAAACGTTAAAGTTGTGTTACAAATTTTCAAATTCAAAGTTATATCCAATTAAAATTAATACTACATTGTAGTTGTATATTTGAAGAAGTTTTTTGGAAAGTTTTAGATATTTAAATGTAATAGTAAAAACATTATGACAATTTATATGCAGTGTCAGCGAAATGTTTGACGCAACATTGCAACGACATGCATATAAATTATCATAACTTTTTTTGCTATTGAATCCAAAGATCTGAAATTTTCTAGAAAACTTTATCAAATTAAATTAAAAAAATTTTAAATTAAAAAAGTATACAAAAAAATTAAAAACACAAAAATACAAAAAAACCTCTGCAATAATCATAATGATACGGTGTAGAGGCTTAAGTTTATTATGGCAACCAATGTGATCAAATTATTGTACAAAATGTTATATAAATCAATATTAATTTTTATTTAACGTTTTAAACGAAACTTTTTTTTGTTTATGCTTACCAAACGCATTACTAGTATAAAAAAAGAACATAAAAAAAGAATTGATTTCTACAGATTCCCCCGAAACATTTTTCTCGCTATGTTACTGCATACAAATACCGTATATCTTTCGTTACATTAAAAAAGCTTAATATTTTTCCACTGAAAAGAATTTTCTTTACAGAGTTTATTTAATCTTATTTTATTTAAAGAGAATCATTAGAATCTCTTTTCTAAAAAGTTTATTTTTATTTAATTTTTGTATTTTGTTTTTAATTTTCCTTTTCGTTTTCATTGTAAAAAAAAAAAGCCGCGTATATTGTGCAAAAAAGCACGCAGTTATTCACTGTGTAACCCGCAACAGCCGACATTAGTCGTGCAGCGTTCCAACGCGGAGGTACGATCCAAAAAGCTACAGAGATAGGTCCCTCGATCGCTTTCCGCGGATCGGGCTTGTTTTCGTCGGGATTTACGGTGCGAACGTCGCGAGTTTGCACAATCCGCGCGAGCCGATTCCGATCGACGGTATGTATAAAATTTCATCGCGCTTCTATCCGTGCTATATTTATCCTACGTCACGTGTTCGTTCCCAGTGCAAGCGAGCGGGTGTGTAGGGTTCGTCGGAACCGCCGCACCGCGCCGGTGGTGGATATTTATTTGCCGCGGATGGAGAGGAAAAAAAAAAAGAGGATACGCGGCAGCGCGGTAACACGAAACTGATTTTAATGGCCGTATCCCTCTCGACCGGGAGCACCGCGCGGGCCCTCCATCGAAATATTAATAGCGCAATACGACACCCAACTATAATTACATTGGAAATAAATAATCCACTGTATCCCGGTGCTCGAGTCAACACCGCTCGCTTCCTTCAGCAACGTGAGGTGATCTCGCCCCAGAAAAAAAGATTTATTTAAGAAATAATTTTTTTGCTCTGACTTTTATACTATATAAACATTACGTATGAACCTAAATATAATAATGCATGTGTAATAATTTGCATCGCCAAAGGACCCCGCACGTTTCTTATGGGAAAGTACTTTCGGTCAAAATGGCTGAAAATTTAGTACGTTGTAATTTATGGTGTCCTGATGAAAAGTCTCAATGGGCACGTGGTCCTAAAATCAACAGGTTCTGAGATATTGGAGCTCAAAGGCGACATCGGCCTCATATCGATTATTATGAAAAGTAACTACGTTGCCTTCTAATATACATTATAAATATTTTATTGGTATATAAAAAACATGTTTTTACTTTCCACAAGGTTTAATAACAATAGAATCGAGTGCTTATTTATTATTATTTGTAGATCGTCGAAAACAACAATATGCCGAAACCGAATGAAAACGGAAACAAAAGATTAACAGTCGAACACAAAACAAACCTTTAACAACCCTACGTTAACAATTCTCGTTTGACATAGATACATGTATCCCTCATACGCTGAACCTCTTAATGAACTTTTTACTTTGATATTGTATAGATGTGTTGTGTGCGTTATGAAGATAATAAATATATATTCTAGACAATAAAAACATGTTTTTTTATATACCAATGAAATATTTATACTGTATATTAGAAGGCAACGTAGCAATATGTTACTTTTTATGGTAAAAGTGCATAAAAAGGGAGGCCAGCGTTATGACCTTGACCTTGACATATGTTGTCAAGGTCATAACCCTGAGTGACCTCCAACAAGTTTTAGCCGTCGCTCGCTATTCGTTAAGAAGTTATTAACAAAAAAAGATGGTAATTAATTTACTTTAGGGGACCCAGCTCCGATGACCTTGACCTTGACATATGTTGTCAAGGTCATAATTCTGAGTAACTTTGCCTTAACTAGGTGGCGGACTCTTATAATTTTTGAGATATTCAGACTCAATAGTCTGAACTATTGTATACTATCAATGGTTAATACTATTATTATGCGGGGGGGGGGCTCTACTACTGTTAAAAATAACCTAACCCAACCCATTTAGTGGTGTGAGGTAGCTCTCGCTTCGTGTAGTAAGTCGAATTCCATGCACAACAGTACAGGCAAGTGACTTTGTATGCGAACATACTTCTATGGTTGTACTATTGCGCATGAATTTTGACTTTATACGCGTAGCGACAGCTACCATACACCCAGGAAGTAAGATATAAGGAGACTCCACTCTGTAAAGTAAAAGTGGACCCATTTTAGGTTTCGAGTTCAGTTTCCGATTCTGATGAGTGCGAGTAAGAGAAATGATTATTTCTCTTACTCGCACTCATTATGCGCAGCACTACTAAATTTACGAGCGCTGCGAATGTCGAGAATCGGAAACTGAACTCGAAACCTAAAATGGGTCCATATTTTGTAGACTGGCGAGATTGAATGGAGTCTCTTTATATCTTCCTTCATGCATACACTATTAAATGGGTTGGGTTAGGTTATTTTTAACAGTAGTGGAGCCCCTCGCAGGGCGGGCGGAACCTACTGCATTCACGCGAAGCGACTTTCACCCCACCTCTTCCTCTGCGAAGGAGCTCGCAACTTCCATGTCACCCACGAAGTAAGAGAGAAGGAGACCGAACTTAATAGAACGCAAGCTGAAAAAGTGGTCCTGATTCGTGACCCCTAATTGGGAGGGAGTCCGCTGAAAGGAATGGATTCTTATGGTTGGGCGCCATTTGCAATTAACCTTACCCGAACAGTCCGGCCTTGCATTCACGAAGTAAGAGCGTGCTTGTAATATACGGAGAGGTTAAAACTAAGAGTTCCAAAAAATTAAAAAAGGTAAAGATTTATAAGAATTAATAGTGAATTCGATCACTTGCACTACGTTAGATTAGTAGGTACTAAAAGCTACTGTGCATGAAATTAGCAGAGTTAAAGCATATAAATAATTTAAACGATTAAATATTCAATAATATAATATAATATAATATTCATTTTAATATTAAATATTCAATATTTCACCTTTTTTAATTTTTTGGAACTCTTAACCTCTCCCACGATCTCTTTACTTCGTGACCTCTCCGTATAATGCAAGCAATGGATCAGGCCGGACTGTTCGGGTAAGGTTAGTTGCAAATGGCGCCCAACCATAAGAATCCATTCCTTTCAGCGGACTTCCTCCCAATTAGGGGTCACGGACTAGGACCATTTACGTTTCACAGAGTTCGATCTCCTTCTCTCTTACTTTGTGGTATGAATACAGTAGATTCCGCCCCCCCCCCCTGCGGGGGGCTCCACTACTGCTAAAAATAACCTAACCCAACCCATAATATTTTGTGTGAGAATAAATTAGTCGTCAAATAGGAGAGAATAAGGGAAAACATCGCGAATTCTAAGGAAAAAGTTGAATAAAGCCAATGATTATTTATCAATTATTTTCCTATTTCAAAATATTACTCCACAACACCAAATCAGTTTTGTTTTTTATATATTTAAAATTAAATTAATTATATACAAATATTAATTAGTGTAGTTTAAAAAATCAATATCCTTTGAATATATAAAGATTTCTATAACTCATAAATAATCGTTGACTTTATTTAACTTTTTTTTCCTTAATCACATTCGCAATTCTACTCTCCTTTACATCAAATTCATTGAAAACATGTAATTGTATTAAATCGTAGGTACTTTTTGTGGTCACGTATTATAGTGCAGCATTGAGTAGTATTATCCACTTTATAATAATTTTTTTTTTATCATACATTTGCTAATAGTGTCTATATGAAAAAGATTTATAATTTATAACAAATATTATTTGGACCGTGAGAGTTTTTAAACTAAATACCAATGAGAATAAGCCATTTACGATCAAGCTAGATCTTGAATGCTTCTAATATAATTTCGGCGTGCATTTAAGGATCTACATACGTAGTATATAAATTCGCACGAAATTATATTAGAAGCATTCAAGATCTAGTTTGATCGTAAATGGCTTATTCATCGGTATTTAGTTTATAATTTATAAATTTAACGTAATATATTCTATGTAAATGTAATCTCAAAAAAACACAACTCTGAGATTACATTTACATGGAATATTTATGTATTTCATGTATTAAATATAGTTTATATCAAGTTTACACAAATCTTTTTCCTGTAGATAATATATAAGCTTATAGTAAAGGATAACCCATTTTGGGAATTCACAAAAATATTATACAGAGTGTTCCAGAACAACCGCGAAAAATTACATGTGCAGGTAGAGCGGATTTAACTATTGCGAAAATTGTAAAATGGTAGGGGACTTTTCTTCTCAGTTTAGTCCATTTTACCTCTTTGCGAGAAAACTTTTCATTACTTTTCATACACCCTGTATATTACATATATAAAAGAAGATATAAAAAAACAACTTTATTGATAAAATTGACACAAGAAATTTGATAAACCTTTATAGAAAGATATTGAAAGAAAATTATATATATCTGTATCGTCAAATTTTTACCTTGCATCGAGGAATATGAGCTTCAGATCGAGTGACGCTCTGAACATGAACATGTTGTGGTTCAATTTAATTTCGGTTATGGAGCTTGTAGGCAGTGAATGACCGACGGCCATTAGACCGACATTACGGATGCCCCCCCGTGCAACCCCGTCCTCGTATTCGGATCCAATGGGAATCTCCACAATACACTTTAAATACCCAGAACAGTGTATAACCTGAAACATCAAAATGATCACCAATGTATACCAACTAATATACCAATATACCAACCAACGTACCAATGTATATTACTAATTTATTTTTCCTCACGCGTGCACGTAATGTGCCCTATACCGCAACGCTTTTGCGTGCGGGAAATAGCCAATAACTCAAGCCGTTGAGTTATTTCTCTAATCCCACTCTTCTGCGCAAAAGCGTTGCGGTCTCGGTTGAGGTATAGGGCACATTATGACGAGCACTCAAAGGCTGCATTCGGGCAGCGCGCTATTAGCGCCATTTGTGTGGTACGTCCTTGTCTCACATCTAATGGACGACGAAGATAAAATGAAACAAATAACGCTAATAGCGTCTCCCCGAATCTAGCCATAATGAAAAGTTCTATGTGGAACGAGTGGGGGTTTATTTCTTTATAGCGCAAAGCGGGCGCGCATGCGCACTGGCTTCGCTCGTGCGCTTGCGCACGTCGCGCAATAAACAACTGACCCCCACTCGTTACACAATGTACTATTTTGCCATCGCTTTTGTGTAGATAAAGCGGATTAAACTGTCAAAAGGTCCTCTATCACTTTGCAATTTTCGTAGTGGTTAACGAGATATGATTTTTCAAATATGAGCAAATAAACGTGTTCGGTCGACCCACCGATTGCTTGGCGCGTAGTTCATGGGGAGTAGGGATGATCTACTAGCAAGCGTGCCGTCCAATAAGACTCGCGTCGATGTACGTGGAGTGTCTGGGCAAAATTGAAATCGGAATAAGACGTTCTCAAGGGCTTAAAATTTTCGTTTTTATATGTAGTTTAAGGAAAAACGTGGTGTTTAAAAAAATTCAAAGCGGCTGCTCCAATATGGCGGTTAGAATGAATAAAAAACTTATGGAAATTATTGAAAGCATTTATTTCATTGATATTTTTGCTTAAAATGATTGATATCTCTCGGAATATTAACCTTTTTTTCTGGAACATGCCGTATAGTCTCGTATATTCTTATTGCATAAAATCAGAAGTAACCTCTTAAAAATTTTCCGAGAGTGGGATCTAACTTTAAACAGTGAAATCTCATTATTAAAGATTGACAATTGAGCCACTCTTTTTCAACATTGTGGCTCAATTGTTATTCTGTCACTCTTTATGGAATTAAATTTTCCTTGTTTTTCTTTTCATGCCATCCATTTCGATAGATACTCTTAGAATGCATAAAGCGTTGGTGCATACTCGTGGTTTGAGATACATTCGCGACGTTATTCTTGGGCCGAGTGTATAAAGTATGACACTCAAGCGATTCCCTCACGCGTCGCGGTTGAAGTACGGACACTTGCGTGGAACAACGGCAAATTAACAATTCTTGCTTAATTGAATGACTGATGTGACGCGAAAAAAGATTCGCTGAACGTCACGCTCCGGTTTCGAGTACAGGGCGAATTTGTGAAGCAAATAAGCCCCTTATTATGCCCGCATTGCATACATCACCTCGTATGCAATCCTAGTGCATCGGCGCGCATTGTGACGCAAAAAGGACTCGAAGGGAGTTAAACAAGAGCAGAGTTTGACACTACAGTGTTTGCTCTGTCATCTACTCATAATCTCACATCGGTAGCGGATTCACGCGCACGCGCGTGTTTGGTTGAATGAACAAAGCAAGCTAAAGCGTGCGAACACGATGCATTTTGCTTGTTGAATTGCTTGCATAGATTGATTGTTCGTGCTGGCGATCTTGCTGATTGTTAAGCTGGAAATTATGTTATAATTGTAAGTGTCAATTAGGATGAAGCGTTAGGTCATTTCATGAGCGTCTTTTTGTACCAAGTATCGTTCTGAAAAAATTATTTTTTGCATTTTTTTATGTGCTTAATACAGTTATAAAATTCATTATTTAATAGCGTGATACAAAACAAAATTCCCAAAAATAGATCTCATTTACAGCCGGTTTATATATAGGTGTTACCCCTTAAATGACGCAAAGTGTGTTAAAAAGGTATCAATTTTTGCTAAAAAAAATATAAGTAAAAGATATAATATTTTCATTTTGTGGATTTTGACTTCCCGAATACATTACAATTATTAAAAAGTTTGTGGAGTTTGGGGAATACCTCGAAATTTAAGCAAGAGATCCTAAGGTCTTTGCAGGTGCGTGGTAAAACATTTCTAAATTTTTGCTGCAATATTGCAGAAAAGATCTGTACTGTACAAGAATTGCCTTGAATTAATAGTAATGTTCCCCCTCCCCCTCTCAAATTTATCAAGAAGCTTTAGCAGTCTTAAAAGCGCCACTGCTTTGAAGACAAACAAGATGCGGATAAGTTGTATCAGGGATGAACGAATCTTTATAATGTCTTTCTTAAGACTTATCAATATTATCCTCTGATAAGTACTCGGAACAAATTCTCACTCGAATTTCACGCAATTGTTAATCTGATCATTTTCGTTCACGCGTCGACAAAAGAAAAGCCAACTACAATCCGTCTTTGTGCATGTAAGTACCATATAGGGATAAATTCACCCTAGCCCCAAGGTTCTCTCGGTTGATCTAACAGCTCGTAGGGGTTGCATTCATGACTGTGCTTGACACCATTGGGGATCTTTATGCGCGATTTCGTCGAGGGTTAACGTCATCGTGGTACTGTGATCTGAACGAGCTATTTGTCAAACATTTTCCTCTGCGAGGATTGCTTTCCTCGGTTAGCAAGTGTAAGGTACATCACGCAGGTCCCTTTACCTCCTCTTGTCACTTCCCTTCGTCTCAGAACAATAGCATCGTCCCGTTATTGCTCGAGCATATGTCGAAAGTTTAACGATACACGGGGGAAGTTAATGCGGACAGTTTTACTCGATTTCGGAAAATTAAGGCGTCACCGTTCATAAATCGGGATTAATGTCTATATGCGATTTTAGCATTTGCACGATGGATTGCATAAATCTGATTAATAGTTTCAGTAATATAACTTATGGATTGAAATTGATTCTTATTTCATGTATATGTCATCGCGTAAAGGAGGCACGGTAGTGTCGTTGCGCCGAGACACTACCGTGTCTCCAGATTTATAGCTTGTTTGAGAGTAATGAAAGAAAAATTATTTTTATTACATCTCGACTTTATCTTTTAAATGTATACATTATTATAGTATATCGCGTTATAGTATAATGATATACTATAATAATATGACATATTATTTGACATATTAATACATTAACGTTATATTTAAAACAGCTCTTTTCAAATTAATTCAATAATTAAGGACTTGTGAACAATATCAAAACTTTGCATTATATGATTATAGATATAATCGAGATGCAATAAAAATAATTTTTCTTGATTTTCTTTTTTTGAGTACCTTCTACTCCCCTTTTTATTTACCTTATATCCTTCCGTAACGAGGCCTGCGTTCCTTTTCGCCAAGATGCACTTCATCCTGAGGAGAAAGGCACGTTCCAGCTCGATTTCACCTCGCGAATTCGGTGGCGGAAAGATGAAACCCGCTACATCCGCCGGACCCGGAAGATTCAGCACGGAATGCATCTCGTTGCGATCTTCTGGATAAATGTACTCGAATATGCTGTTTCCCGTTAATTCCACCTGCACATACGAATAATTTCCGTCAATAGTTGTCGGATTAACGCGGACTTTCTTTATCTGGTATAGCAACGTAACATGCACATTATGTAATAATATACGATACACGTAATAATATGCAATTTTGCGCGAAAAAGATTTAATCGAAAATATTACATTTTTTTTTTTTTAATTGCCAAAACTGAATTATTAATTAATTAAATAAATGAGAGGATATCTCCCACCTGCGACAAACCTAAATGTACGCTAGCAGTCTCGCTTATGTACATAATTTTCCCATCCGGTGCCACGACGAAAATGAAGCCGTCCAGTGTCTGAAATTAGAAATAGTTCGTTATCACGGAGTTCATTTATCTTTCGTACACGGATTTAATAAGTAAGCCTCGTTTTCAAGCCATTAAATTATCTAATTTTCAGAAGAAAATTTTATACCCGCAAATATCTAATTATTATTAATAACTAGATATCTGCGTTATGAATTGGTGACAGGATGAATGACAATCACTCACTTGTAAAAGATGCGAACCGAGTTCCTTAATGGTGGTCTCTAAGGGATTGTTGGGTGGTGGCGCAGCACCCCATTCGTCTCCTAGACCTGAAAAATTGACAGCAAATGATGATATTAAAATACGGTATTAAAAACAAGCAACAATATAAAAGATGACATTAGTTGCTTTCCATTTACACACAAGTGAAACTTGTGAGTCTGAAGTGAGCTGAGTATAAAATACTCAGATTAATGACGTCATTACTTGCTTACTTTGGTAAAATTAACAAATAACAACACAGGTTTATAACCTCACTTTTAAAGTGAGTCTACGAGACTCAATAAAGCACACGGTCTCGATCTTGTGCAGTTTGTAGATAAATAAACTGAGTTGAATCTCACTTCTCAGAATGCAAAAGGAACGCGCATTCAACTGAGTTATGACGTCACAAGTGAGAATTATTTGAGAATCGGAGTAAATGGAAAGCAACTAATGTTAATGTATATCAAATTATTCCATAAATTTAAAAAAAGAGAAACGTTTCGACTTTTACATAAGTCCTTTTCAATCTCGTCAATATAATATATACATTAATATATAAATTGTAACATTAAACGGAAATAATATGGTAAATCAGTCAAATTATTGTCCATCAAGTCAGAAGTAAAAAGTAAGAAAATTGTTTCGCAAGCCGACTCAAGAAAATTATCTGTATCGCAATTCTAAATAAAACATTAATGCTTATTAAGAAATATCATAAATTGAATAATTTAAATCAAAACTGAAAATATATATTAAAATTACGGCAATTAGATGCTATGTGCAATTTTCTTCTTTCGAGTGAAACAACACGAACCAAATGCGTTATCCAAACTGCAGTAATTGAAGCGTTGAAAACCGCAAATCAGTCCATGCTCTTTTTTATTTTTCACCGATTGGTGTAGGGCTGGTTACTCACGAATCTAGCAACCGGATTCTTACGCGCAAAGGGCAAATAGTATCGGATGAGATGGATGTGATTGCGCACTTAATGCATTGTTAGTCCCTAGCGCTTTGTAAGCAAAGCATGGGGGCCGTTATAGTGTTACAATGGCCTCCCCAGTTCGATTCCCCCTCTCACGACATCGGCGAATTGAATTTCAAGTGGCTGCATCCCTCTAGAACGCCGTCTTTATTCTCGGAGAAAAAGAGACACGGCGCGGCGTCCTCACGGCGATGCTTTTAAGGGCGCTTCCTCGCACGCTTTGTCGAAAAGCGAGCGTGAAATTTCTCGAGAGGCCGATCGTCGTCGATTATTATATCACAAAATTAAAATATCCCTTACAATCCAAAGCAACCGTTAGAAGTAAATTAATGTTAATCGATTAAAATAGGGAAGTGTAATGTCGATTTATTAATTGTATTATGATGACGATTTCTGCAACAAAGATATTCAATAATAATGTCGATATTGTTCGTTAAATAAATCCATTTCTAACGGTCCTTTACATTCTAACTTATACTTCACGCACGTTATATTGAATTTCAATGATGTAAAATTTTTGATGCAGTGTGACGATAGCAAAGGACTTTGAATCAAGGCTGTTTCTCTCCTTGAGATGGATTGAGCTGTCTGTCAACCGCACGCCATTGTGCATTGATATAACAATAATAAAGATCGTAAAATCTGACACGTGTCGTGTATTGAAACAGCACGATCGACAATTCTTCCAAGGAATGTGTTGATAATCAAACTTGAAGAAAATATGTTCCAGAACACGATGTTTGAAACGTCGCACTTGAATATGAACACGTGACATGTGACACGAGGTACTCATACTCTTGAAATTTATCAAGTATGAGAGCGAATTTAATTTATCATTTTAAATTATAGATTTTAACTTCTTCGAACTCTAACGCGTATTTTTATGCGTTTCGATTATTCGAAAGACATTTTTAATTTGCTCCCTCTCTTGCTTTTCTCTTGATATTTCATTTGTCTCAAATAGTATTTCAGAAAAATGGAATAAAAAAACTTCATTAGTAACCCAGACAGTACAAAACATCCATTGGAGAGACATCCAGATTTGGTTTCAATCTGGTCCAAACGTCCATGGATTTACAATAGTACAAATGTTTTAAAAAATGTATATTATTCAACGTGCAAAGTATGTTTACATTTGAACATTAAAAAAATTTTTTCATTTCTTCACCGAAAAAATTGTATTCTAGATTTCAGTATATCCGACTAAATTACAGAATGTTTTCTACTAAAATATAAGCGCCAAGTATATATTATAAATATTAGAGGATTTTTCTCTAATATAATAAGATATTCTAATTATTTTAAATATTCCTTTATTGTGGAGAGTAGAATATATTTCAATCTTTACACAAACACACACGCACGAACGCACATACATGTATGTATGTATGTATATGAATCTATTTATATATGATTCTGCATTTTAATTTTCTAAATTTTAAATGTTTTAGAATATTCTCAATTAAAGAACAGCTTTAAACGGAATTATTCTCAAATACAGAATACGATTTTTTTTCGGTGAAGATTTATCAAATAGGCATATTCGTTACCATGAGGAAAGACGGCTCTCATCTTGAGATAACTGGTAGTTAGCCTGATAATGCTAGCCTTGTCCAGTTGTGTAGTAATGGCACCTGGAAGCGGTAGCAGCTTTCCCAGCTCAAAAAATTCCTGATTCTCCTTAACGCGACGCGATCGCGCTGCGTTTTTGCTCTTCTCTTTCATCTCGATTTCTTGAAGACCACCTGACGTGGTGGAACTAGCGATGCCGTTCGAATTGTTGTTATGATGATGCGGGCTCAAATCCAGTGTGTCCGAGGAAGAGTTGCTGTCTGCAAAAAAATAGTTTTGTTAAAAATTCGTATACACATATTGTAATATAACAGGGTGTCCGATCAGACCTTTCTTGCCGCATACAGGAAGGTAGATGGGATCGAAATAAAAATAAAAGTCCTTTACCGTTTAGCGAAATTCGTAATAATAATCGAGATATTAATATTTGCATTTGTACTAATGAGAGCGCTCCGATAGGAACGCTCTGGCCGCTCGAGGTATAGCCCGGCCCAATTTGTCAAACGTTGATTGCGCCGACAGCGCATTGGAGAGGTAGGAGGGAAAACGCGCAGTTGCTTAGCATTGCTTGGCGCCCGGCATCGGCGTTCACACGTCTTATCCATGGACCTAAGAATTCTTAGGGGCTATACGCAGAATAAAAGGAACAGAGAACAGAGAATAAGAATTTCAACCTATCAGAAATCATGTACTGTGGAATAAACAGTGTGTATTTCACAGTACATGATTTCTGATAGGTTGAAATTCTTATTCTCTGTTCTCTGTTCCCTGTTCCTTTTATTCTGCGCAGCCCTTATAGGTCCACGCGCTGCCCCTCCTACCTCTCCAATGCGCTGCCGGCGCTATCATCGTTTGACAAACTGGGCCGGGCTATACCTCGAGTGGCCAGAGCGTTTCTATCGGAGCGCTCTCATTAGTACAAATGCAAATATTAATATCTCGATTATTATTACGAATTTCGCTAAACGGTACAGGACTTTTATGTTTATTTCGCTCCCATCTACCTTCCTGTATGCGGCAGAAAAGGTCTGACCGGACACCCTGTATATATGGCAAGAAAATATATTCCACAATTTGGCGCAATCTAAAAAGATTTCATTTCATTTTTGCACACTTGGCGCCTTTTTTTCCTTTTTTTAAAAAGGTAATTTTGTTGAGATTTCATATATTACACAGATTGAAACATGGATATATTAATTATAGGTATATGTGTTTAGATACACGTGAAAAAGAGATCACTAATATTTACTGTATTTTTCAGTAATAATGCATTGATTTACTTTTGTAGGTTATGATTTTCTGCAGATTAAAAGTTATAACTTCTGTAGATTGAAATACTTAATTTGAATCTACAGAAATCTACAGAAGCCTATAAAAATAAAATCAATGTATTATTACTGAAAAATAGTAAATATTTACTGATGATTACGTCAACTACAAATATAGCACCAAAGTCACTGATTCGTATTTTTAAAAAGTATCATTTTTATTTTTATATATAATGAGAGAGAATGAGAGAAAAAGGAGGGGGAGGGAGAGAGAGAGAGAGAGAGAGAGAGAAAGTAATGATTTTTCTAAAATAAAAAGGAAGACGAAGCGTATTTTACGCGCTTGATAAAATACCTATTTAAGGAAATCGAGAGGTATGTCGAGCGTCGGTTGGGACAGTCACCGAATGCAGAGAAGAAGCGGCAAAAAAAATGCATTATTCAAGCAAATTTCCATTCGAGAGAAGTCCGGATAGCTACATCGTTAGGTTGCTCTCTCGCCGGCGTTTTAATGACGGTTTGCTCCCTTTGCTTTCGTTTCTTATAACGAGAAACTTCGACGTCATTGTTACGCGGCACTCGCGCCGTATCACTCGTGAATAACAACGCGGTCAAAATCCTTTTATCGCCTCGATTGTATACGTTTTGGAGAATATTTGAAAAATTTACTTCAAGCTTTTGATTTGAAACGCAAAATATTTTTTAAGGATTTAATTATACAAATATTTGTGTTTTATTCTCTTTTCGTGTTCATACAAAGGAATGCATACGCGGAAAGAACGATTTTGCCGAAATATTGAAAATTTTAACTAGATACAATCTGAAAATAACTTTAGGTAGTATTTTTTACAATAAAATTATTTATAGGTTTTAAAATACCTTAGCATTAGATTATTAAAATTTAGTGGAGTTTTATTAAATTTGATCAATATATACGTTTCGATCCATAATTTTTATGAAATTGACTGATACTTCTTGTAAATTATTTACCGGCAAATAAAAGTTTTCTCGAAGTTGCAAAAGCGCCTGCACCTCTCAGGGGATGTGAGAGTGTTACTAAGATTTACAAACCAATTATTATTCAAATCACTGATGTCATACATTACATTTTAATAATTCTGTGGGTTAATATTAATATAATGTTAGTTAATTCATTGTGTGTACTATTAATTGTTAGTTGTTCTGTACCTTCCGATCTTACATTGTTGTAATCATTTCTGTTAAAAGAATTGTGTTTACAATAATAATTTATGTTGCCTATTTTTTTGAGGTTATCATTGTGTTGTTTCGCTATTAGCCATTCGAATTTCTTGTTTGATTTATTAAATTCTACGTGATAAACTCTATTTAAACTTATATTTTGTATTTGATTTTTTAAATATTTTCAACAATGTGTAATAAATTTAAATATTTTTTTCGATTCGTGAATAATCACGTTTACTATATTTCACACTCTATAATTTCTGTTTCCTTTATTCTTTGAGATATTTTTATCAAATAGAGGTACGAGCTCATGTAATTACGTAGCGGTAGTGCACTCGTGTCCGAGTGCAAGTTTTTTTACCGATTTATACTTTTGAAATTTGTCACGCGCCTGCAAAGTTGTGGAAAATTAAAAAAAATATTCGTAGTCCCAATTTTACGGGTTATATGCGATGTGTCCATAGAGACGGTTCTATTTCATCTGGGAAAAATGTAATTCAGCTTGGAAGCTTTGAACGTGATTTCGAAATAAAGTCACGACCGCCAATATTGCAAGACAAATAATTGCGCCTGCAAAATTCCGAGCTCTACGGGGCCAATGACCTTCCCAGTTATTCAGAGTGATTTTTCATGAAGCATAAAAAGTTATATAAAATTTTTATCGTCTGCATGTCAGTAATGTCGCAGGTATGAACCTGCGTATTCACATTAGTTTGAGAATAATAAATAATTACGATATACATACCATATATATGAATATTTGCATATAATATAATATAACTCAAATATAACAAAATATAATATTTTCCAGAGAGGATTTTGATAAGGATATAAAACGTTCCAAAAGAGTGACAATTTTCTAGGACATAATACAAGGACGGGTACAATATATATATATATATATATTTTCCAGCCAATTATCGGCACTGCCAGGATATCGAGTGTTACGTAGGCATTTCCGTCGGCGACATTAATGATGATGACGAAGTGCGACAGGCGTAGAGATCGAACTCCGTGTAGTCAGCCGCGTAGCGGAGTTAAGTTAAATCAGCACGCTGATAACGCGAGTACTTTACACTGTCGTTTGTGCAATTCGCGATTCGCTTTATTACTGCATCAATTTTGTATGTCGCACATACCTAGCCCCTCGGATCGCGCGTACGAACTAATGCCACTCTTGACGTATTAAGTTCTATCCTTAAGACCGGTATGCGTACGTACGCGCGATAACATCAAGGAATTACGAGTTACCTTAAGTTTGTTCAGGTGTTCTCTTCAGAAAATGTAAGTTATATATTGTAAAATGAATTATGAATAATTATGTATTTTTGTTAATTCAAAATAAATTATTAAGCAGGTAATTTAAATAATATTATATCTTTTTGAAAGGATAAAACCTCCTATTTCTTAGTTTTAGAAATTGAAGCACTTCAAGTCCGGTTTTTTATTTCCCAATTAACTTGTGGTAGACTTAATCTGTAAAAATTGTAATGAGTAACACTATAATTTAGTTTTATTTTTCTAGATGTTGTTATAATACTGAACTGATGGTTTTGAAGTGAGTAACTTTCAAAGTTACCACTCTCACTACGAAACCATCAGTTTAGTATTAATTATAGCTAGAAAAATAGAATTTTTACGTTATCACCAGATTAAGTCTAATGGCAAGTTAATTGAAAATAAAAAACCGAACACATAGAGTGCAGGTTTTATTTCTAAAATTATTATCATCAATTAAAAAATTTATTATTTATATATTAAATTAAGTGAGATTTAGTTACGACTGTTGAGGATTCTGTGAAGTCGAAACGTTCCGTATATCAGTTTTATATTATTATTATAATAAATTTATATATATATCTAACAACCAGTATACCTCAGTTTGTCTTGACATTAATTCGATGTCGATTCCATTGTCATTTCTCACTAGGATATTAAAGAAGGAATGTATTACAAAGTGAAGTTTTAAATAGCATTATTTTAAAAATTAGAAAATAAAAAATTTAGGCTAAAATAATTCTACAGGGCTAAAGTAACCTAAATTTACGATATAACAAAAACCGATGATCCGGCTTTAGAACATATTAAGAATCTAAGACTGTAAAATAATTATCATGTAAATTATTATTATTAAATAAGTATTATATATAAACTGTTGCATAACTTACTACATACATATATATATATATATATATATACTAAATAGCATAGCGCAATATAACATATCTTTCATTATGGATATTTTTATCACAAATATTATTAACGTATCCCTCTGTCGGCAAAATTTTCGCACTTTACCCGCAATCCTTTTCTTTGGTAATAACAGTACCAATTTTTTTACTAAAATTATTAAAACATGTATTACAAATGTAAATTAGTTATTTCAATTGAACTAATTTGTTGCAATAGTAATGATACTAACAAAGATGGATTTGTTCTATGAGCGTAATATTAAATGCTTACAGACATAATTTCTTTGTTAAACCACTAAATTTTCTTAGTTACAGATGTTAATTTCGCGTAGTAAGTTATAGATTTGCTGAATCAGCGAATCTATTTTTTTCCGTATACGTATATATAAATTTTATTTATATATATATATATATAATTTAAGTAATATAACACTTTTTATATTATTTGAATTGAAAACATTTTTTTCTGTTGAAATTGTGCTTATACTAC